AGAAATGTCATTTATTAGTCGAGGTGGTAAAAATGTATTGGTTTTAGTTTGCAGGGGCCTGCACTATAGCACAGTTAGCTAATGAGAGGCCAATAAGGTTACGTTTTCACTCCCGTGTTTAACTACCTTTATTATTCTCAGCTCTAGATTCTTGCATCATGTTTACTACAAATGTTTCTTCTATCATCTATATGAGTTATTTCTTCTCCAGCTAAACTCTGAAATAGCGTCACACCAATGAGAATTAAACCTTCAAATGTTCTTTAGGGGATTTCTGCAAACGGAACCGGTAATTGGGCTCTTAATATTTGAGAAAGCATATTCAGTGTGCTTGATTTAAGAGGCCAGAAATGTTCAGGGTGGCTGCTGTGTGTAGATGCGTATGAACATGTTAATGTGACACATTAATAACTCCTTAAGTGGCTGATGCTTCATGGAAGCAAGCAAACTCACTTCTGTGCTATTTTATTCATGTCGTACCTTTTTCTGCCCTTGCTGCAGATTCCTTCGTACTTCCTCCAATGAAAGCACATTTGTTAGCATTAGGTGGGCAAGCAGAGGAAAAAGAATTGGGGTAAAAATCAAAAGGGAAATAAGGCTGATTCAGTGTTCGTTCTGCAGAATGTAATTGGACTTTGAGAGTTTCCTCACACTCTGCACTGTAATTGCCTTGCTGCTGCTGAGCTGGTGATATGAACACACACACGTGTACACACACACACACACACACACACACACACTGACAGAATTACATAAGCCTTATCCATACCCACACACCTATATGGGACATCTGAGTGTGACGGAGAGTGCTCACAGCCTAAAGCGTCATGGAGGCTGGACCGTCTCTGTGCGAGTCGGGCTTTCAGAGCGAACCGTGTTTGAACGTCCTGTGTTGGTTATAGAGCTGCTCCTGATCAGCAGGTACCCCTTCTGCTTCTTACTCAAAACAGGATATGAAGCAAGCCCACTTCCTGTCTGGCTTTATCAGTGCTGATGGTGAATACACCTCACCTCATGTTTGTTCCCCTTTCTGATTTCTCGTGAAGTTGTTGCCGTTGTTGAGTCCTCGCTTCCTGTTGAAACGCCTTTGATTTGATTTCACTCAGCTGCAAAAAAGAAAAATCAGAAAGCTCCGGAATCCATTTGACTTACCTTTCCAGAACCACAAAGGTTTCCCAGCTGCTGCACTCCCGTGTCTTTTGATGATGACACTCGCTTTGTGGCTGAACTTTACTGCAGCCAGATTTAATATCACTCGTGAGACATAAAGAATTTTGAATGCCAAATGAGGCGTTTGAAGCAGAATAAAACATTTTGTACCACTTCAAAGACATTACGGGTCTTCTTTTGACGAGAATGATCATAAATGACATTTCTAAGGATTAAGGGAACACATTTAGCACCTGTTTGCTGACTTTTTCCAAAAGGGATTTGTCTTCTGCAGCTTCAATGGAAAAACAAAGTTGTATCTTCCTGTTTCTAGCTGTGGAGAAGTCTCGTTGTATAATTTAAATGCAGTATTAAGGGTAAGGGTCGTTTGCATGACACACTTTATTTGTTGCTGTGAGGCTTGAGCATAAAAGTGATTCTCTTTTTTTCCTCATTAACAGTGTGTGTAGTCCTCAGAAAGGACAAGGAGAATGTGTCAGAGTGTAACCGAAGACTGGTTCAAACAGAGGGCAGCACTGCTCTCCCTGCAGGGACGGCTTCCATGACCCCTTTAACTTTGAGTGATTTATTGAAAATGTGAGACATCAGCAAGGAATAAGGTTGAGTAGGAAATGTCCACATCAAGGTAACACTTTGATAATGAAGGACTCCAGGAACAAAAGCAAAGTTACGTTTTCTAGAAATGTGAAATTCGGTGCGTCTTCCTTCAGGATTATGCTTCCACTGACGCGGCAATGGGGCGTGGAAGTGCACTTGGGAGCCGGAACATTTAGGAAAAATACAGAACAACTCCAGCTTCACTGGGTAATTCACCGAGTTGATATAAACAGCTCCCAGGCTGTTTGACAGCGAAACACAACATCAGGACCAAAAGGGCCAGTTTGACTCATCGGTTGGTTTTCTATCATAACTAATGAGGCTGAGAGGAAAAATATTTGTCTGGCATTAAATGGTTTTGATTTTCACATCAAATCTGCAAATGTAATGCTTTAATCTGATGTAATTTACTGCTAACACATTCTTAGCTGTTGACGTCACAGCATGGAAACAACTTTTAGCACAACAGCCTGTTGGAGTCTGTCCTTTCCAGGGGAACGAACACACACACACACACACACACACGCACGCACGCACGCACGCACGCACGCACACGTCCCAACAAGGTGAACACACACATCTTGTTTGTGCAGCGACTCAGGGTCTGACTGCTGCCTATGTTTATTTATAAGCTGTTTGTTAATGTGGAGAAACTCTGGAGTCGGGGACGTGGGATGAATTGTTGCCTAGTCTGGTTGTTTTCAGGTAACACCCGTTGGTAAACACGTTTGTGTGGATAAGGCCTGGTTGTTCACTACCAGGAACGGAAAACAGCTCAGACGTGTACATGTGAAGTGGCCTGTGTTCATCTGAGTTCAGAACAAAACTGGATTAATAAAACCGATTAGGTTCAGTCTCCTTAACATGAAGACAAACTAAACGTTTACCCTAAAGCTCCAGCAGCAAACAGAGTTAGCTTCTACAACATTAATGTTAGATCTCAGTGTTGTCTCATGGATGCATGTAAACCAGGTTTCTAACGTGTCTTAACTTTATTTTTAGATTAAACAGAAATAGTATTTAGTCATGTTTATAGGATTATTTGTTGTTTAAAGCACAGCATGTTGCCTAAAGTCATTTTATCCCTGCCTGCATGGCCCTCTTTAGGCTGCAGACCGCCTTTAGCTGAACACCTGATGCACAAAGTTCTTGTTATACTTTTACCACCTTTGTGGATGTCTATAAGCTCTACATCATCCAGTCAGCTGTAGTTCTGCAGCTCCATCCATCGCGTGTGCTGCAAGAATACAAATGGCTCTGTTAGTTGAGAGGGCACTAAAGTTAGTGATGAGTTGACTTATTTAATAGGTCTGTCTCTAAATACACTTTAAAGACAGTTTATTAGGCCTGAAATGCACCAATGCTTCCTGCAGTACCGGTCCTAACCAGTAGGTGTCACAGCAGAGATAAGAAGCTTGCTGCAGGAATGGCAGCAGAGGAAGAGTTACAGGAAACCCCTCCAAATGCAATTCTCAAACAGTGGAACAATTTAAAAACTTTATTTTTTGACATCTCAAACCAGCTCATTGGAAACTGAAGCATATTGAACTGTTTCAGGCAGCTGCCATGTTGGATTTTAGGGACTGTGGGGTTGTAAGCTCACCTGCACACATCCATGGTGTTTCTAATAAAGAAAATAACCATTTACAGCAAAAATAATCAGAATTTTCCCAGCTAAGATGTTTGTGAAGCAGCAAATGTCATTTGTTCTTAGTCCTAGCCCTCCAGAGCCGGCATCCTGCATGTTTTATGTGTTTCCCTGCTCCAGCTCTCCTGGTTTGATTATTCAGGCTTCTGTAGAACCTGAGGAGATGCTGAAGATGGCATTCAACCACAGAATTAGGTGTGTTGAAGCACTAAAACATGCAGGATAGTTGTCCTCAGGGATTGGACAACTCCCGTTTTAAACAGAACAGTGTCCCGTTAGTTTACATGAGGGGGCGGGACTGGAAACTATGAAGGTTCTTGTTTTTTTGGCCAAATAGAAAAATTATTTTATTATTTTTTATTCCCTCCCTCCTTGGGTATCTTCCTCTAGCCGGCTGTCCTCCTCTTCTCTCCGAGTCTGTCTTTTTAACAGCTGGTCCTCCTGGTTGTAGGTCAGAGCTGAAAGGGGTCAGCAGAGCAGCTCAGATCGATAAGAACGCACATCCACAAGCTCTTCCTCTACTCCCTTTTATTTCTATCTGTTTGGTGTTCTCTGTGCTGATTTTGTCTACAGCTGTCTTTATTGATACGTTTTACTAATCTTGAAAACTTTACGTTAAAGAGCAGAGCATTCCATCTGTGTGGGCGGCCAGACTCGAACGCTCCTTTCAAATCGAGTGCAGTTGTGTTTTCAGAGCATGCTAACGAGACCTTGATCATTGTGTTGATGTCTGTCAGACTCAGATGCTCTGCTGCTGCAGCTTCAGTCTTTGTAAGGGCAGAAATCACCTTAAAATTCAGAGTCTGTCATCGAGGAGGATGAGGATGAGGAGGAGGAGGGCGGATGTCAAATTTATATTCATTTATTGAAATGAACTGAATAAAAATATCCCTTTGAGCTGGATTCTGTGTCCCGCTGGACTCCAGTCATCCTTGTAATCCTTTCAAGAATAAAAAAAAAAGAACTTAGGTATTTGATCTTATCTTTCATTTGGGACTCCATCTGTAATAAAGTCAAGGAAGAGATCATGCAGAATAAAGTGTTGCACACATCTGATGCTGGGTATGGGTGGATGCACTGTTAGTCCTTCAGATGCTGTTTTTAATAAATTAGAAAAAACAAGTTAGTTCATTTTGCTTTCCAGTCTATGAGCTGCTGCAATTGAGCTAATTAGAACTTTTATTCGGTAGTGAAAACGAGGTTAACGTGGTCGCAGGGAAAATCCGTGTTCTGTGAGCTATAGTTGCAGCTACACCCTCAGACCGTATGTTGCTACATGGAGATCCTGATGAGATCATGTTCAGAGCAGTTTTTGTGCATAATCTGCCTTCTGCGTGTTATTTTTGTCATTTGCAGGCGATTGAAAAGGGACTCTTGTGTTTCTGAAATGTAACCCCCACTTTAGGATCATAATATAACATATTTGAGCTTATTTTGTTGAGAGAAAAATGGAGCAAAGTAATGGTTAAATAAGTGGTCATAACTCGCATTGTCAAATAGATTTTCCAAAAGATGCAAAACTGTCTCAAACTAATAAAGGTTTGAGGGAACCAAATGTTAATTGTGATGTTTCTCTGCCCCCCAGCATGTGGAAAGGCCTGAATGTGAACTGCACTGACAGCTCAGGATACACACCTCTACATCACGCTGCACTCAACGGACACAGGTGAGACAGCAAACACAGGTTTCTCGCAGATAAATTTTTTAAGAAGAAAAATCTGTTTTTATTTTTTTTACTTGACAAATATCTTTAGGGCTGTTTTTTATTGAAACAACTAAAGAAATGGAAACACTAATAATAACATAAATATAATAATAAAAGAAATGTATTCAGATTTTATTATCATATATTTTTGTTAGGGGAGGGAATTTAACGTTACGATTAATTAATTAGAAGAAAATTAAAGTACCCCCCCCCCCCCCCTCCCCCTCACTGGGGTTCGAAAAAAAATCAGTAAATATCATCAAGCTGCTCTTCTAACAGAACTGCAGAGCCTGGGCTACAAGACAATTTAAAGTTTTATGGGTTCCAAAGACAATTTAAACTACAATTGCATGAATCAAGACAAATTGCTCTTTATGAAGAAAAGAAAGGAAGGAAAAAATATACTTCATGTTTTCTAGTTGGTAGGAAGCAGGCAGGCAGTAACTTTATCCATATGAACTTTGTTACAAAAGGGGGGTCAAGCATTCAGCATTCATTTTGTAACCCTCAGCAGAACTTCACCTGAACTCTACACCTCTATGTGTATTAGTAGTACTCTGCTGCCACCTAGTGGTCAGTTCAGTACACAACATTTACAATATTCCATGTCTATTTACACTTAAACAATAACACTAATATACTAATATTTACATATCCCAACAAATCCCACAATGTTTACCTCTATAACGAGACCAAAGTAATCAAATAGACCTTGTGGTTACAGATATATACAAATTAAAGTGTGAGTATGTCATCTGTGCCTCACTGACGCTACTTTTGATTTTAAAAAGTTGCTTGGACGCAAATAGTTGAACGATTAAAATGTGATTAATCAAGATTAATTAATAACAAAGCCTTTGATTAATTACATACAAAATTTTCATCGAGCACCAACCGTAATTTCAGTTCATCTTGTTCACAATGGTAAACGTAATCATGCTGCTTAAAAGAATATGCATTTGCTTTATATGATAATAAACTAGTGGTAAATCAAAATAAAGCAACATGATCAGATTGTTTATTTCCTGATTACATTTAATAACTAGTCATAACATTATGACAAAACTCTATTACAGGTTTAAATCAACATAAATAACCTCTTAAGCAGCAGACCCATGAAGAATTAGGAAACCATGTAATCTGCAAATTAATTGGAATGAAAGCAGCTGAAGAAATTCATTATCACATGAAATTAGTTGCTCTTGTCCAACAAGCAAGCATCTACTTGCAATGTTTAATAATTTACGAGCGTTTGTGCTTTTCTTCATTAGGAAAACCGTTAGTGAGCCCGACTGCGTCTGAGCCTCAGTGGAACTGAAGGATTAGGAACGTTTCGGGGGCAATTATGTGGATTTCCTCCTTTAGATGAGGAAGGAGGGGAGGAGTGGTGGAGAGCAAACTACAGCATCAGAGTTAAAATTAGGGTGCACCAAAAAAAAAAGAGTTCTGCTGAGGAGTGATATAACATTTAAGTGGGAAAGTAAAAAATGAACCAGCAATTAGGATAACAAGTAAACTGTTGTTGCTAGGATTATTTTAATTATATGCAACTTTAATATGGTTTCAAGGGAAGTTTGCAAAGTAAAAAAAGTCTCAAAACTCTTTCGTGATTCAGAGGTGCACTAACGTTATTTGAATAAAACAAAATAAAGCCTTAAAACTAACCAGGCAGTTCATTAGGGACCCAAGAGCTGGAAGAGTTTCTGCCTATTTGACTCCTCTGTTCATCTCTCACTGAGATTTTGAAGGCAAATAATTCTCCAGCACACAAATTTCCTCTTCAGACGATGAAAACTGCAGCTGGGATCTAAAAAAATGGCACACAGTTGTTGACAACGATGCTTAGTAGGACACATGGATGATATTAAAAAGGACTTTAAATCAGCTCAAGATTTTAAATGCAAACCTTATTCAAAGAGCCAAAGCAAGGACAGAATTTAAATTAAATTAGAAAAATTAAATTTTCTTAGACCTCAGCCCCTTCGCTCAAACCCAAACAACTTATTCCTCATCAAGAGTTTCACAGAATTCACAAACTAAAATCTGTCATCAGTTTTCATTTTAATTACTGCATGTGGCCCAAAATGCATAACCCCCTTTTCAGTTTTAGCCTCCGTGGCACAGAATCTGGGTCAACATTGGACGATTGTACATTATTCCATCTCTAGTCTCAGGCTGCTATTATAACATCTTGTATGTATACCCATATATGTGTATAAATATGTGTATATATATATATATATATATATATATATATATATATATATATATATATATATATATATATATATATAATATGTGTGTGTGTGTGTGTGCATATTCTAATTGTTTGAGTTTCGCCTGTATTTGGTTTGAAACTGTTGTTTTGGACTCGTTGTTTTACTGAATTAAATGATCAGAGTATTTTTTAAACACTGAAATAAAACGATTACTCATGTTTCAAGAATGTAAATGCATCATTTGTTGTAAAAGTTATGCCTTCAATCGTCATCTTCCACCTAATCAACGGTCTGTTTCTGTTTTCTAGGGACGTGGTGCTGAAACTCCTTCAGTTTGAGGCGTCAACAACTGCAGCAGACAGCAAAGGCTGTTTCCCTCTACACCTGGCAGCATGGCGCGGGGACGTGGACATCGTCCGCATCCTCATCAACCACGGCCCTACAAACTGCTACGTCAACCAACAGGTAACCAGAGTAACCCATGGAGCACATGGAGTCTCAATATTGACAGAGCTGCTGCAAGTCAGTCCTGTGTACCTGCTGCAGGTCACACCTGTCTTATCTTCTGCAGGTTACACCTGTCTATCTTCTGCAGGTTACACCTGTCTACCTGCTGCAGGTCACACCTGTCTTATCTTCTGCAGGTTACACCTGTCTATCTTCTGCAGGTTACACCTGTCTATCTTCTGCAGGTCACACCTGTCTATCTTCTGCAGGTTACACCTGTCTACCTGCTGTAGGTTACACCTGTCTATCTTCTGCAGGTTACACCTGTCTACCTGCTGCAGGTCACACCTGTCTATCTTCTGCAGGTTACACCTGTCTATCTTCTGCAGGTTACACCTGTCTACCTGCTGTAGGTTACACCTGTCTATCTTCTGCAGGTTACACCTGTCTATCTTCTGCAGGTTACACCTGTCTATCTTCTGCAGGTCACACCTGTCTATCTTCTGCAGGTCACACCTGTCTATCTTCTGCAGGTCACACCTGTCTATCTTCTGCAGGTCACACCTGTCTATCTTCTGCAGGTTACACCTGTCTATCTTCTGCAGGTTACACCTGTCTACCTGCTGCAGGTTACACCTGTCTACCTGCTGCAGGTCACACCTGTCTATCTTCTGCAGGTTACACCTGTCTATCTTCTGCAGGTTACACCTGTCTACCTGCTGTAGGTTACACCTGTCTATCTTCTGCAGGTTACACCTGTCTATCTTCTGCAGGTCACACCTGTCTATCTTCTGCAGGTCACACCTGTCTATCTTCTGCAGGTCACACCTGTCTATCTTCTGCAGGTCACACCTGTCTATCTTCTGCAGGTCACACCTGTCTATCTTCTGCCAGTCAAACCTGTCTATCTTCTGCCAGTCAAACCTGTCTACCTGCTGCAGGTTACGCCTTTGTGGTGCTGAGTGGGAGCTTGAGTTTGCTCCAAAGCTCATGACCGTTTGAGTGGTACATGGTAAGACGTATATATGTCGATGGGTAAGACCGTGGCTCGGCTGCTATCCCGGCACAGGGAAGGTCTAATATGGGATAAAGTTGCTTTGCTGCTCTTTCCCTCCGAGCGTGTAAACGGATGCTGCTGCAGGTCCTGCTATCGTGGCTTCTGTCCAACTGAGCTGGTTCCTCCCAGCTTACAGTGATCCGTCTCTGACAGGCGGGTGAGCGTTTTATCTCTGGGAGCATTCAGCCTGCCACTCCTGTCTTCCCTTATCAGCAAAAATGACCCTCTCCCTCCCCCTCTACTCCCTTCTTTTCTGTTCGTCTTCGCTCGCAGCATATTGATGATGTCACAGCTCACTGATTCTGCAGTGGGAGATGAGCAAACGGCACTCAGGAAGTATTGGATCAGAAGTGGGATTCAAAATACTGATACGATGGGTGCATGCATGTGTGTGTGAACTCTGGATGATGGAGTGTTATTTACTCAGACCAATAAGCTCATTTTCCTCTTGTCACCTTTAGCTAAATGGTTGTCTTCTAAGAGCTATTTGGCTCTAAGTCTTTGCAGTGACAGAAGATGTACCTTTACCCTGAAAGGAAGAGGTTACTCAGCAAGTGAACGTTGGTAATTTCCTGTTTTTTAAACACGTTCAGTAATTAGTTGAGCTGAGTAAGCTGCTGTGCACCCACCTTGACCGAGAGAAACCTGACGAGGCTGAAGATGCAGAGATGCTGACCTCTGGGTGCAGCTAGTGTGTCGCTATCCATTTTTGCTCTCCTGCTGCCTTTAATGTTTCTGAGAAATAGTTCAAAACGTTCTTGATAGATATTTAAAAAACCTGGTAAATTCAAAGTTTCAGTTTCTGATGCACAGGTTAAAACTCTTAATTTCACCCAGATTTTTATTATTTGTTTTATTATGCAAAAAGGGAAAATAGTTTCTGTTATTTGCTACATAAATTTTCTAATAAATATTTATTTGTTATTGATTTATGTATTGATTGCAAAAAAAAATTACCCTCTTCTTAAAGAGTTTTTTTGGGTTGTTTTAAGGGCCATTTTTATTATTACCACAAATGGAGTAGAGCTATTTCAGCTGATAAGTTCAAATCCAACCAGAAGGGTCCATCGTGCAGCTCGTAGGCCTTTGGTGGTCGGGGGTGAGATCTGCTCAAATAGACATGTCCAGTTGTCTGCTGTTGGGACCAAATCTGTTCAAGTTTAGGTAGAAAGAAAATAACTCCTCATTTACTAATCAAACACACATGGTTCAATATTAGACTTTTATTAAACATTTTTCTGCTTAAAGAGCAAGTCACCCCCAAATCACATTTTTTTTGCTGATAAACTATATAAAGGAGTGTCTAATCATGCTACAGACACATGTAATCAATAATTTGGTAGTTCAGTGCATCTTGGTTAAAATTCAAATATTCTGCCTAAAACTGTCAGTGTTGCGCCGTCGTCAGGGAAAAACTCTGCACTGTATTTGAATTTTATTCTGCCACTGCTATTGGCTAAGAGGTATGCTATGATGTCATCTGGTACATTATGATGTCATAATGCCATTGTGACCCTTTGTGTGTGTATTTGTTAGCGGCTGCGCCCTCTCGGTCTGCAAAGCAGCAGCATTTGTTGCATTTTTCAAACATGAAGTGGGAGTGATGTAAGTTTCTTGTAGGGGGCGACTTGCTCTTTAATATATAGTAAATGGAGCCAAACGTTTGCTAAAAAGCAGACTGGTGTGCCAAAAATTCATAGGATAAATAAATAAAATACAGTGGTACTGAAGAATAATACCTTGTTTTTGTTGTTAAGGAAAAAATGGAAGCTGGTGAAAGTTCAGTCATCCAGGTTATGGTAGTGCAAAGGGTTCGAATGAAGGCATCTGGATCTTTTAGAAGAAAGAAGTCCAGCTGCCTTCATTCAAATTCTTTGGACAAAAAAATAGGTTTTTAAAGACTAAGAAAACGAAAAATTTGCCCCAAAAATCCTGACAACTGAAAGTTATTCTTACTGAAGCACCCATCCGTTTTCTATACCCGTTTGTTTATGCAGGGTTGTGGGGGGCTGGTGCCTATCTCCAGCAGTGTAACGTCCAAAAGGGTCAATTTTCACTTATATATGTATATATAGTAACCTTTCATCTACAGAAATAAATCCACTTTCTATTTGGCCCTCCAAACCCAGAAGGTTCTGCTTAATGCGTGTTTACATACATGAAGTCATAATAAAACTTCTCTCCCAAGGTCCCCTGCACTCTCTCTGCGTAGAAGCCAGACAGCATTCTTCACGCTGAAGAAAGTGAAGCTTCCAGGATTTTACAGTTATAAGTTAAATAATCATATGTGTTGAATGAACAAGATGTTTAAATCAAGTGTTTGAATAATCTGCGCTTAAATCAATGAAATTGAAACTAATATTGTTTACAATGATCCATTTATCTCACACATAGTATGTGTTTGATTTAACAAGTTAATCATTGTTTACACTCATACTCATTATAATTATATACTCATTAAGGTTAATATGCACCTCACATAAGAGTTTTAAAGATTCTTATTCACAGTGTTAAAACATCTTTGTATCTAAGGAGGGCATGGTGTCAGACTGGTCGGCTGGATAAGGGAGTTGAGCTGTGGCGAGCTTGGCTTTACCGACGCGGAAGTGCTAGCGTCGGCGAAACACCGGCTCGCGGTTTGATCTAGGAATTCCCCGAGCGTCAACGAGGCGACACAGAGATGCTGGGTTTTCCAGAGGTAAGAAATAGAGCTTACTGTGAGTAGACAGTTCGTCGGGTAGGTTGGTAGAATACTCTGATCACGGATTAGAAGAAACGATGACTGAGTGGTGAGCTGGGGAGGCGACTTCCGTATATAGTCGCGGTTGGTGACGTAGGTGTGACGTGGAGGGAATCCCCGCGAGGAGCATGCTGGGAGTTGTGGTCCAGGGTGGAGACCGGCTAGATGGAAGAGGCTGGTTTGGGGACTTGGGCTCTGACACGTGGCTTTCTGAGAGAGATGTTGGTAAATACTCAGAAGCATGTCAAATTCTGATTTGCCAAACTTGGCCAAAACTCATAACACTGCGGGTTAATAAAACAGGATTTACTTCCCGATTAATTCAGTTTCTAGCTGACTCCCAATTCGGCCAAATCGGGAAAGAAGCCTCTTTTGAAACGATCTCTTTTGACATACAGTCAAAAGCCTCTCTGCGACGCTGCAAGCTGATACAGTCAAACAGCTTTTCCAGAGCTACTTCAACACTCAAACATCCACCTTGGACGCTGACAAGCATTCCAGCTTCCTGTTGTGACCTGGACCGGACGGGTCATATCGGAGCTAATCTACGGGCTCCAGATACCTTGGGGTCGAGGTCCACCCGATGGAGATGTTTTGCTCTCCGACTTAACCACCACCTGGGGAACAAAGACATTCCCTGCCAGGAAAACGGAGGGCGTTGCACTTTTCTGTGGTATCATGCCACCATTACACTCTTGAATCCAGTCCACGATCGTTACTATTGTGTTTATATATTTCAGAGACTTTACAACGCGGGCAAATTTGTCCTTCAGTCTCCTCCACCTCTTCACCTGGGCAGCAATAGCTCAACAGGTTGAGCGGGTTGTCCAGTAATCGGAAGGTTGCAAGTTCGTTCCCAGCTCCAGACATAATGTGTCCTTTGGCAAAACACTTAACCCACCTTGCCTGCTGGTGGTGGTCGGAGGGTCCGGTGGCGCATGTGCACAGCAGCCTTGCCTCTCTCAGTGCGCTCCAGGGCAGCTGTGGCTACATCGTAGCTCATCACCACCAGCGTGTGAATGTGTGTGAATGGATGAATGAAACACTGTAGTGTAAAGCGCTTTGGAGTCGTCTGACTCTGAAAGGCGCTATACAAGTGTGGGTCATTTACAGTTGTGGTCAGAAGTTTACATACACTTGTAAAAAATATAATATAATGGCTCTACTGAGTGTCCCGTTATTTCTAAAACTCTGATTTTTCTCTGATAGAGTGATTGGAAC